TCGGCTGCTTGCTTGCTCGGCTATGTATTTAATTGTTCGCGTCTTAAGTCGTCATGTATGCGTAATTGGCATTGCACAGAGGACAGCGCCATGCTATGTGTGTTCTGCCAGTGGACGTGAAGCCTAATCGTCTCTCTATACACGGCAGCCCGCCGAGTTTCGTTCCTTGCGTCCGCGTTATCCGATAATTATATTGATGGATGCATGGATAGACGGACGGGCGGAAGGACGGGCGGACGGACGGACGGACGGACGGACGGACGGACGGACGGACGGACGGACGGACGGACGGACGGACGGACGGATGGATGGATGGGTGGATGGGTGCGGGTCGTGTGTTTGTGTTGCGTGTGTTGGTGCCTGCGTGCGTGCATCATGTGTGGTGTAAGTTCGTTAGAGAACCTAGATGCATGTATGTGTCTTACCAGTCACACTAGGCTCTGTATAGCTCAACCAGAGTACAGCGCGGGTATCGGCGTGCATGCGTGTTGAGTCTGGAAGAGAGTGTATGATGAGAGATGTTTTAATTTATTTATTGCGGGGTTGTACGCTGCGTCACTAAGTGATGATTAACAGTATACAGGAACTGTGGTTGAATGTGACCATACACGTCATTCGTATATGAACTGGCAGCGTAACAGATTTGCTGGTTCCCGTAGCTCCATGCACGCATTATAGTTTCATAAAGTAAAAGACTAGCCGTGTCAGAGAGAGGGGGCGGGAGGGTGGTCGGGAAGAAGGAAGGGAGGGAGGCGGAGAACCCTATGCGAGAGAGACACAGAGAGAGAGAGAGAGAGAGAGAGAGAGAGAAAGCGAGAGAGGGAGCGGGAGAGGGAGAGAGAAAGAAAGGGAGACATATTGATACATTTACCAGCTCTGCTCTCGTACTGTAGAATGGAGATTTCATGCAGATACATTTACATGGATTCAGGACAGACATATCTCGACTTTCGTTTCTCGGCACTGTGTCATTCGACTGTGACATAGTCAAGACCTATTAGTATTCCCTATAGTTACCAGTTCTATAGTTACTAAATCTCATGCGTGGTTTACATGCTGATAGGAAACCCTATACCATGATGGATAGTTTAAAGTAATTAAAGTAATTAAATTAATTAGTTGTAAAACTCTGCACATTACTTGATTTGGTTTCATGTTGTTTGTAACTGCGTATAGATAAAGCGCCCCTTGCACTACCCAACACACACGAATCTCTTATACTCGTATATAGCGGTTTTAAAAGATATTGTCGAAAACGCACTATTGTCTCTAACATTCTGACCGCCCTCCCTAATTTATACACGTATCTTGTCCGGTTGAATGCCTCCTATAACTTCTAACAAATGTCTGGTGGAGGACTTATCGGAATCAGCAATGTGAAGGCTTTCTGAGATGTTTATCACGGTCGTGCCTGAGTGACTGACTATTTAAAAATATACGTAATGGTGGTGCAATGGCATCGACACATTCTCACCACTGTATTTCTTTATCAAGAGTCGATAATATACGATTTTGTTCGTCTATTACCTATTCTTGATTTTATCTAGACTTATTATTGTATTTATAGCAGGGAACGGAAGTGGGCATTCACTAGTAGGCAAGCAATATCATCAGTGTCACAGGTGTTCAATTGACTCTGACATGCGATTCAGTCATCAAACGCAGAGGAAAGGCTTTCTTTATCGCCGTCACTACATTAAAAGCGGTACAAACCTACCACACCTGCCCTATTATTGGCAGTAGGGATTCAGCAAAGGAAATTGGTTTTTTTGCGCAGTTGGCAATGTGGTATTTTTATCAATACAATGTACTTCATCCATCTCTGGCACGAAAGCTTGAATTTTCCTATAACGTGGCTTCGGTTTTTAGACGCTAGTTTTTTTAGTTACTTATTTGGCGAAAATGGATGAGATTTATTTAAATATTTTCGTGGCTGCCTTGTATGTATGGATAGATAATACAAGGCAAAGGTATTATAGTCTGGCATAAGCCATGGATCAACCTAGGAACAAGAGCGTATAAAGAAGGAGAGCGTACAACGGTGAAATGGTGAAACCATGTTGCAGTATTAGTCGAATTAAGAAACTTTGCCCGTTTTATTTTGACGATTCTTTTTATTTTGTGTCGCTGTTGCGTTCTCTCGTATGAACGCCGGGGGATTATTTTGTTGACATTGGTTCGGTGTCGTGGCCGTGGTTATTGTTTCTATAGTAACCAACTCCTAAGCTTTTTTCGGGCACACGTTTACATCCAAACGCGATGAGCGTTGCGTTTATTTCCTAAGCTGGCAAATCATCGTATCAAACTTTTGGATCGATCGCCTCTCACACAAGCTCGCATAGCAGCAAAATCAACATTGACATTCATTAGATTGGATTTTATTTTACCTAACTGCCTATCGTCACACTGCTCAGCAACGGTCATGTCGGACCAGTAATAAAGTTATTATTTTTTATCTCTTGACTTATTGTTTTCATACACTTCAACCAACTGAACCCCAACCAACGACTATGAGACGACAGCAATTGAAAATGCATAAACATTATGGTGGAATATACAAGGGAGCAAGCTATAGCACACTGAAATGTTATAGCGCTACGTTTTACTGATACATCTTAGCAAGAGCGTATAAAAAAGGAGAGCGTACAACGGTGAAATGCTGAAACCATGTTGCAGTATTAGTCGAATTAATAAACTTTCCCCGTTTCATTTTGACGCTTCTTTGCGATATTATTGATCAGCTGTCCTACCTTGTTAATATAAAACAAACCGCTTGTTCCTACGATGCTCCTACGCTGATAATGAGCGGTGAAAATCTGGTATTTTCGCCGAAACCCGACTCGAGATCAGTGTTTACTGCGACTGTCTCTCGCTTTGTGGCCAGTTTATTGCTTCCGGTCGCCGCTGTGTAGCGTCATCGTAGCGCTGCCTCACGTCAGTACTACAGAGATTACTATACATCCAGCGTGAGGTGGGCACAGGTGGGGGTCATCACTTTGGCAATCAATAACAGACGTCATTCATTCCATTTGTCAATCATTGACGGAAACACGCGAGGTTTCCCGAAGTTATCGTAGGGACATGCGGTTTGTTTTATATTAACAAGGTAGGACAGCTGATCAATAATACTGCAAAGAAGCGTCAAAATGAAACGGGGAAAGTTTAATTCGACTAATACTGCAACATGGTTTCAGCATTTCACCGTTGTACGCGCTCCTTTTTTATACGCTCTTGCTAAGATGTATCAGTAAAACGTAGCGCTATAACATTTCAGTGTGCTATAGCTTGCTCCCTTGTATATTCCACCATAATGTTTATGCATTTTCAATTGCTGTCGTCTCATAGTCGTTGGTTGGGGTTCAGTTGGTTGAAGTGTATGAAAACAATAAGTCAAGAGATAAAAAATAATAACTTTATTACTGGTCCGACATGACCGTTGCTGAGCAGTGTGACGATAGGCAGTTGGGTAAAATAAAATCCAATCTAATGAATGTCAATGTTGATTGTGTGAGAGGCGATCGATCCAAAAGTTTGATACGATGATTTGCCAGCTTAGGAAATAAACGCAACGCTCATCGCGTTTGGATGTAAACGTGTACCCAAAAGAAGCTTAGGAGTTGGTTACTATGGCGACAATAACCACGACCACGACACCGAAGCAATGTCAACAAAATAATTCCACGGCGTTCATACGAGACAACGCAACAGCGACACAAAATAAAAACACAAAGCACAAACGACACAAAGGAAAAAAAACTAGTCGTTCAATCGACCTTTTTTATTTGATACAATTATATGCGCTGGTGCCTCTGTCGCACCGCCGCCGCCGCCGCCGCCGCCGCCCGCCGCCGCTGTACCCTATGTAACTTTTTATTCCCCCGGGGATATTCAAGTGCGACACACAGTGAGCAAACGATGTCATAAAATGTCAATATTTTCACAATTACCACATCCTTGTCTGAACAACCACATCAGTCAGATCCAGTCGTAGCTAATTGATATAAATTAGGAACACAGCGGCTGTTATGTTTGCATGAGGTTATTTTGGTTGGTTCGTTATCAGTTATATACGACAGCGCACACTGCATGTCGTAAAAAAGAAGGGGAAAGGATAATATTCTCTACATGGTAAACGACTGATCTGAGACAGTATAACTAAAGAGGTTGTTCAGTCTGTAGCTCCTTTAGAAACAACATCGTACCGCCACCATTTTTTGCGTGGTTTAAATGTTCTTGCCGTTTACTTTGACCACTTGTGTGTGTGCCACGCACGAGTGCATTGACGCGTGTACATGTGCACGAGACACGTGTGTCGCTACTACTTACGTACTGCTAATTAAAGGATGTAGTGTTTAGCGTAATTAGATGGTTAATTTCTAGCCACAACTTTCCGATAACCGCGGCGATTGCTTGCGTCGCGAGTCGACACTGAATTCTAATTAGCGATGGAGGTAACGCGGCGTGCACGCAGCTCGTGCGTGAACCGCACGCACAGAAATTACATAGAATATTTACTTTCGTGGCTCAAAGAAAACTGTTCCTACAGCGTGCATAGCAGCGAAAATCTGCATCGTCATCAACCTAACTCTAACCCTAACCCTAATTCTCTCTAATCCTAACCCTAACCCTAACTTTAACCCTCGCCCTAACCCTAAGCCTAATTCTAACCCCAACCTTATCCATAACCCTAGCCATAACTTTAATCCCCGAATTCTAAACCCTAACTGTAATCCTAAAATCACACCCGGGGCCCTAAAGTAGGATTGAACCTAATTAGGTTCCTAATTAGGAATCTAAATGGAGTTTAATTCGGTTCCAGCTAGAGACCTATCACAGAGAAGGTCTTTGTTTGCAGTGTTATTATTATTATTATTGTTATTATTATTATTATTATTGTTGTTTTTGTTGTTGTTACTGTCATCATATTCATAGTCATCATTCATTATTATTATTATTAATAGTATTTATCCTTATTATTGTTTTATTGTCTCTGCTTGTAGCTGTGATCAAGGATGAGCCAGCCCAGGAGATGAACGGGGAGACGGATGGTCGGCCGTGTGGCGGGCAGCGGTCGAGTGCAGCGAGCCTTGAGAGTCGCTCGCTGTCCTGTCTCGTCACCTACCAGACGAACGGTGTCGAACACAACCACGACGCGCTCTCGCGCTCACACAACGAGGTACGGCTCGCGCTCCGTACACGTAGTGAATCACGATCGAGTCCGGTTGGTCGCGAATTTATATAATATATATCTTTGGTCGGAATAAATATACGAATCGGTTGGTGCGGTCGTGCTTTGTATTCTCTCTCTCTCTCTCTCTCTCTCTCTCTCTATCTCTATCTCTCTCTCTCTCTCTCTCTCTCTCTCTCTCTTTCTCTTTCTCTCTCTCTCTCTCTCTCTCTCTCTCTCTCTCTCTCTCTCTCTCTCTCTCTCTCTCTCTCTCTCT